TTTTTTCTAAAGCCATATTGATTTTCATATAATAATCCTTGCGACTGAAAGAAACTGTAAAGCCTGGAGAATATGATTTTTTCAAGTATTTTACCGAATATTGCTAAGGTTGAGATAGGCCTGTAATTTTCAAGAAGCTCAGCATTTTCTTTCTTATATATTGGACTTATTTTACCTACTTTTAGGTCGTCTGGAAAAAGTCCCTGTTGCATACATTCGTTGTACAATACCGATAGTAGTGGGCTAATTTTGCCTGATACTGCCTTTACTATATGTACTGGTATGTCGCTAGCCTTGCCATTCTTAAGTTCCGATATGATCTTAGCCACCTCCTCAGGTGAGCAGTCATGTAGATATATATTAGCTGTATTCGATTTAGGTAAGAAGTCACAGAAACTTGGAAGCTGATTTATTTGTATCTCTCCTAGTTCTGTGTAGGCTGCATTAAGGTTAGATGCTAGGGATACAAAATACTTATTGAATTCATTAGCTATAACTCTGCGATCAGTTATCTTTTCATTGTCTATGGTAAATATAGGTCTGATATCACGTTTCTGTTTGCCACGAATTTTATTTATCAGTTCCCAGGTTTTCTTGGAATTTCCCTGAGTTTCAAGAAACTTGTCAGAATAATATTCAGATACAGCTTTTTTACGAACCTTTTTTAGAGCCTTTCTATATTCTTTGTAGTCATCATAACGGTTTCTTTTATTACAGCAGATAGAACACAGGCATGTGCCCCCTTTTGTGTCAGTTTCGCCTTGTTTACACTTAACTTTCCTGACTTTCGCCCAGTCATCATACAGCCCATGGCAGTGGTTTACTGAGGCTATAATCCCGCCAGTAATCCATGGGTTGTTCTGGATAGTGCGCTTAGTGGTTTTGGGTACAGCTAGTTTGCAGGTTTCGTCAATGCTGTTTTTAAAGATATCATGAAAGTTAGTAAAATCTATAATTGGTTCATTGTCTAGTTTGTTACCCAAGACTTCAGCAAATTTATCAGTGTTTGATTTACAATAGTCATAATATTGAGTGTGCTTGTGAATATTTTTGGTCTTGCTAATTTCCCAGTCAAATATTGTAAATATAGGGAGGTGATGAGATATGTGATCAGTTATGACTCCAGAGGCAGTAACAGAGTCTAGGTCATTTGTAATGATGTTGTCGATGCACGAGGCATTACATCCAGGCTTTTCATGAGTTGCTAATGATATCAATGGAAAGAAGCCTCTACTAAATAGGACATCTTCATACTGTGCAATAATGCTACTGTGGTTACTATGGAGATTAATGTTAAAATCACCTGCAATGTGTGTATGTTTTGGTGCTTTATCAAGTATTGACGACAGTTCTTGGAGAGCTTGCTCAGCATTGCCACTTGGAGGGCGGTATATTACTCCTATAGAAGTAGAATTTCCTAGACTACCTATAGTTACAAAGAGGGTTTCTAGATTTTCTGTTACTTGTGAAAGGTTGTTATTTTTGACAGCATTGAAGGAGTTCAGGACATATAGAGCTACTCCTGAGCCTTTTACTTTCGAGTCGAAGGTATCTTGATAGAAGCTCTCATAGCCTGTGAGTTCGTACAAGTTTTTCATTTCAGGGCCTACATTCGTTTCAGCAAGACCAATTACAGAGAATTTGTTAGTAAACCTAGCTATTTCAATTGCCAGCGAGTCAAAGTTTGATTTGTTGCCATCAAGATTTTGAAATATTAGTGAGTTTTGCACTTGTAATTCGTTAGCAAAGGTGCGGTTTATGTCTTTTACAGAATATGAGTCACAGCTTTCAAGTACCTCAGAGATTTTACGTATTACATCATCTGCATCAGTGTTGTCATCATTGTCATCATTCAGAAGCTTAAATGGGTTATAACGGTTTACTGCTAGGTGGATACAATTATTGCAGTACAAGTCAACTTTTTTATTTTGTTTGTCACTGGTGTTAAAACATCTAGAGTGAATGGGACAATTACAGTGGTAGCATTCAATTATAGATTGACCTAAGTAAATACTTTTTAAACAGTGGGCACAGACCTCTTTTTTAAGAACATTCATGTTGGAGGCTGATAGCCTTCAACATGAGGCTGTCCTCCGGCGGCATGAGAATAAAGTGTTGAACCTACCTTACCGTCCCTCCTCCCCCTCTTCCTCCTATCAGTCCCTCCATGCATCCTAACAAGGACAGTATTACGGATTAAAGTAGCAAGTTTGGCCACTCCCTTCCAATTGAGGTGCAGGTAATCCGTTCGGCCATATCTGTCAAACTCCCTGGACAAGGTTAGGCAAAGTAAGCCAGTGTTATTGTCAAGGAAGTCATCAAAGCCATCAACGAACTGGACACCAAAGTTTTTGGGGAGTAGCTCACGACGAATAAGTTCTATAAAGTAAAGAACTTTCCTATTTAAATCAGCATTTCGAGTTGGTAAAAGAGGACAAAGAAATACTTGGGCAGTTGGATTGGCCTCTTGAATTTGCTCAATCTTGAATTCTAGATGACTAAATATAGCAAAAATTTCACGCTGAGATTTAACAGATGGTCTTCTAACATCATTTATACCACACATAATAACAATGTTCTTGTATCCACATGCAAGATATGGGTTAATGTCATCTATTGTAGGAGTCCAAACATTCCGACCAGGCAGCCACTTACCAAAGCTCCTTTTGTGATCCTCTCCAAATTTCATACCTGCTCCATTTGAATCAGAGAAGATACAAGTACTGGCACGATTCTTTCCATCTATTGATCTGAAGGTGAAACTATATCGTACTGCACCAGTGACTGACCCCTTCTGGATAGAGTGCTTGTAGTGAGCCTGACTCCTTCTGGTCATCCTGTAAACTGATCTTGGAGTACACTTGTGCGTGTGAACTGGGTTGTTCATTTCAGTGAAGAGGACTTTGCATTCACCTCCAATGGAAAGAGTCAATATGCTAGACTCTGGATGTATCACCGGTTCATTGTCTGAATGTTCAGGCAGATAACCCTCGCCTTCTTCATAGCGGTTGATCAACACGCTGTTCATTACAGGGTTTCCTTCTGCACAGAACTCCTCATTGATTTTCAGGACAAGTGTAGCAATTTTATCAGGGATCTCCACGGTTTTCTTATTCTCATCTCTGGATCCGCTATACTTGTACCTCTCTCCAAAAGAACATACTGAATGCCCATTCTCCTGACTGAACTGAAGAGATTCGCAGTATTGGAGAAGGTCTGATTCAGCATCACTGTCGATGAATTCTTCCACGGTGTCTACCACAGGTTTTTCCTCATGTTTTGATTGAAATAAATTTTCGTGCACATACAGAATGAATGGTTAATAATTTAATATATATGTAGACCAAGCTCTGTGCACGGGATGCTTCCTGGAAGAATCCAGTTCTTTTAGCGGGGCACCCTACCTAAAGCCAAATTGAGATATAATAATCATATTCCTAGAGAAATAATCAGAAATCGAATACCAATCAAATAATATGATATATATGAGTAGTAACCATATTTACTATGCAAAATGCCCCAACCACATAGTGTAAATTTATATAGAATTCAAATTCCATATCATCATTAAACCTCAATACCTAGTCAATATAATAGCCCAAGCAAAATTAAATAACTTCTTATATACCTTACTGTCATACTACAAATTAATTAAACATTTGAAATCTGTTGACCAGAGAATAAATTTCTAAGCCTAATGCAAGTGAAATAATTTAGATGCAATAATGAATGCCTAATGTGAGTATCATTTGTCAATGTCCTTGTAAAAAAGTCTGTACAAGAGATATGAGTAACTAATATAGAAGAAAAAACAGGAAGTTGTCGTCTGTTGTAAAATAAATAAAATATCTAGAATATAAATTAGAATATAAAATAACATTCAGTCAATGTGTCGTCAATAAACTGTACAATTATCAAATGTTAAAACTGGGTGATACAGTCACCAAAAAAAAATACTAAGTATGATAAGTTAATAAATTAAATGTGGTCTATAAAACTACCACTAAGTATAATAGGTCAATAAATTAAAAGTGGTTTAAAGGTGGTCTTTGATAGAAGGTGCTTATCATTTAATGCAGAACCAGATGATGGCTGATCATGAGGAATTGTCGTCTGTTGGGAAGATAGTTGGTCTAGAGACTGCTTGATTCCCTTCAGTTCAAGAGAAATATGCGGTTCCTGCCGAGTATGTTCATCAAGCTGGTCTATGATATCATGTATCAATTTCTCAGTGTCAAGCTTGGGAGCAGTAGATGAGACAAGACCTTTGGTGGAAAGATCTGTGATTTGTTTCTGAAGGTCTTTAATAGCCTTTTTGACACCACTTACATCTTCACTTAGTTCTCCTTTACAATGGTCTTCTATGTTTTTGACTCGGTTTTGATGGTCTTTCAAACCATGTTCATTGGTTAGCAGGTGTTGCATGTGAAGGTCGAGGTTTTGGATCACCTGGATCGACTCTTTCATTTTATCAACATCAATTGTTGATAGTGATTTCGTCAAGGTTTCTATGTCCTTGAGATTCTGACAGGCAGAGTGCACCTCATAATCACTATTGGACTGTTGTAGACTCAGGGTGTTCCGACATTTGTAGCAGAAGTTGTCGTATGAGATATCTTTGATGGTGGTTGGTACGGGTGCAACGTAGCAAAATGGACATAACCACTTTTCCAGCTTCATTATTGACGGCTTCGTGATACCCTTTAGTCCCAGACAATCTGCATGCCAGTTCTGTTTGCATCCTGTGCATATTAGCTTGAAGCTTCCAGCATTTGATTGGCTGCATGGGCATTTATCAACATTATGATGCTCTTTTTTAGCGGTTGGCCCTGTTCCTGTCACAGAGCCTCGTCTATTTCCGGTAGATGGTGTTTTTATACCTGTACCTGACATCGCACAGCCAAGCAACACACAGCTAATAGAGACAGCACAGCAAACAAATCAAGCAACAAATAACTCACGTCTCCCCTTTGGGGGTACTAGTACATGCTATCCCTGAACTCAAATTATTTGTTATATAGCAGCGCTGAAAGTATTAAAACTCTATTAAAATGCTTTTGGTTTAAGCGCTGACTCACATTTGGAACTGGCACGGGTATAATTGTAATATCCTACGAAGTCAGCATGTCATATTATTTCGCAAAACTCGTTTAAATATCTTGACAATATTTGTCATACGTTGTATGACCCGCCGCGCACGAAGTGCGCGGCTCCCCCTGTAGCGTCGAAGACGCTACATAGTGAAACGACCGTGGGGGTCGCAACGTGATACAAGACAATATTTACAATTTAAAGTTTATGGTTTTAGGTTTAGGCGCGGCGCACCGCTTATATGTTATAGCTCAATCATTTTATATTTTCAGCGCTGTGTTGCTACACGCTGTATAACATGTGGACCCAGCGCGGTGCCGCGCCTTAGCAGCAAAAGAGTTATTTATTTTAAAATTTATTTTTGTATCTAGCAAAAATGATGTAATGTTTTTAATATGACGTAGAATTAAACATTAAAGCTATTTCCATACAGCCTAAGTATGCTCGTTAGAAAAACTATCAACAATGAACATGCTAGCTTTCTTTATTGTTGTACTGGATGTAACAAGTTTATTATCGGATGTCTACTTATATTTATTTTGATATTATTATTCATTGTAATGGCAATAAAATTTAAATTTTGTTTTACTTAAAATTTTGTTTTACTATAGTGCCTTGACCATTGTTAATGATCAGGCCCGGCGCGCGCTACTTCGTAGCACTTGCCATCGGGCCATTTTGAGAAGAAAGCGGCGCGCGCTACTTCGAAGAAAGTAACGGATATAACTCGTCTAAATTTCTTCGAAGTAGCCCGATGGCAAGTGCTACGAAGTAGCGCGCGCCGGGCCAGATCATTAACAATTAAATGGTCAATAGCGCATCTCGCCGTGAGAAGCCTCATTGAGTGCGCGGCGCGGCACAGTAACGCAGCACGCTACAAAGTGCCGACAAAACTTTGACGAAGCCAAATGAATAAAGTGTTTAAAATCGGTCGGTGTTAAGTAGTTTGATTAATCATTTTGTGACCCAAATGTGATATAAAAATGTCTCAGTACTCTCCCTCTTTCGCTCTTTATCCCCTCATAAGATATTTGCTATATAGTTAGGTAATTTAGCAGTGGATCTCAATATTCAGAGGCGGCTATCATGGCTATGTTGTATGTGAACATCTTACCTGGGGACCTCAGGCTATTATGTTCATAAACATAGCCTGACGAATTTGAACCCTCTCAAACGCGCAAGTAAGCGCGTTTATGCGATTTTACAATCAAATAATCAGATTTTACAATCTAACTCAGTGCGCAGCTCTTGTAGTGTATACGTCACTTCTTTCCAATTGGTATTTGTAATTTGTTTTATTCTGAATATTTGTTTTATTCTGGTAGTTGAAGTGCACGTGATTTCGTGTGCGGCTGTGACTGGTTCTAAACGATCACGTGAATGCTGGTCACGTGCGCTTTAACATCCAATGAGCATCCGCGCTTTTTTCAGGGTGATGGAGGTCGTAATTCACTCAGCCCGAATATAGATTCGGCGGAATTACAGGCTGAGCGCGGCCCGGCCCATGCAGTAAGTGAACATCTGGTGCCTGGTGTTTAAAAATAGAAATAGTGATCTTAGTAATAGTGTTCGGAAATATCTTATTGCAGTATAAAGCTCTTTATTCACTCAAACGTTCGAATGAAAGCGCACGCATGATCTCTGTGAAAAATTTTTTGTAGCGTGATGCACTACTAACTGGGCTGACCCCAAGTCCCCCACCCCCTCCCCTCCCCAGTCCGTCGATTGGACTCCCAACAAAACTGCTAGCCACCTCCCAGTCAATATTGCCTATCAAGTATCAAGTATAACTATATAACGTAATATGTAATCTAAGTAAACTATAGGTAAAAATATAATATTAATCATAAGCTAAAATGTACTAATCTTTGTATTGTAAATGGGGAAAAAGAAGAAACATTGTCAGTCAGTCGAGAAAATTGTCAGTCAGGCTATATGGCAGCTTTGTAGATGTTGTGACTATGCTAGTAGTGGTCCCAGGCTTGCGACTGGAATTGCGGTGTTAAATCGATTTAATGGTACCAACGATCCACCTCCCACTTGTTGTTTGGTACTTAGCATTAATAGTGTTAGCTGTAGCCATTTATAGCAAGAATCTTAAAACTAAAGGGGATGACAAGGAAAAGAGGAAGGAAAAAGAATAACGGGACAAACAATTAATTAAAGTATTTATAGGAGCATTAGATATTGTAATTACAAGCTTCAATAATAAATCACTGACTAAAACTTCTAATTAAAATGACACTTGGTACGCTCGCCCATTTTCACTGGTCAGTCTGAACTTCGGTTTAGCACGTTGTACACTTATTCACCTAAGTTTCAGAATTTGTTCAGTTTAGCAGAGTTAGTACCCGTGTTTCAATAAATCAAAAGATATCAGGGGAGTTCTTTAATAATGTTACGGTCATCTAGAATACCGAACTTCCTGAAAACGTTATCATATTTCCTCAGACAACGTTTAATGCCTTTAATCAGTCTATCACGGCTATATCCTCTATCAATTAGAATTTTGAATATTTTGTGAAGATGGGAGGTAAAGATATCCAATCTAGTGCAAACATTACCATATCTAAGAACTTGACTTGAAAAAACGTTGTAGCCAACCTCGGTTGGGATGTTACTGTGAGGAAATGTAAGGGATACAACATGAAAATTAAAATCATCAGTGAGGGGCACTAAGAATTATATTGAAGTGTATTTGGAACAAAGCGAGTTCACACTATCAGTATCACACTGTTTTAACATCGAAAATGTAATTAGAGGGATATATATAGTTGGTCATACGTATACTAACATCCACAAATACTTACCATATCGGTTACCCAAACCATCATTTTACGTAGTCTGTTATGTAGCATGTTCTTGACAAATAAATGTATTAACATCAACTATAAATAAATATTTTGAATCCCGTCGAGAATATAACTAAAAAGTCTAGGGGGTCCAAGGTGAAATTTTGAATAGTTAAATATTAAATCCCTAAAACAGACCGATTGAGCTAAAAGGTACAACAAAAGACATCTGAAACTAACTTAAATTTTATTAAACTAACTTCAATATAATTAATAATCAAATAACGTTATGAATAGATAAAATATGATTATCAGAAACTGTCAGCAAAAACTATTGTTAATGTTAAGATGAAATTTAAGGGAATTTAAAAGTAAAATACAGCTAACTGGTTGCAATTCTTTATGAAAAAACGAGAGTTGATAAGTTCAAGACTTGTGCACGTACTAGGCCCATAGGACACCAGAAACTTGACCAAAAATTTTTCATAAAAGAGCACACCAAACCGATATTTAAGCATAATAATATTCTATCTAATTCTATACAAAATCTCTATACATACCACAGTTACCTCGAGCTCTACAAGATAATGAAATTCCGTGCTCCAATATCCCTACATGAGGGTTACACATGTTCCTCAAGGAAACCCTGTCTTCTAATCTGTCAGGCAGACCCACCTGACAATCACAACACTAGATCAACCAAAATTTTTAACATTTTAACCCCAAAGTTCAGAATGACTGACTTTACTACTAGTGTAATGTGCTTGCGAGGTAAGTTAAAACGTGCGCTATTAGCTAATCAACATAATCACGCCCTGCTTGATTGGACCGTCAAAGATTTTGACTGCACAAATGTTATTGTCCAAACATAACTGGCTGGCCACACACATCTCAATTAAAATTACGCTAGGCCACTGTTTTCCAAGTCTTGTCCTGTGAGTAAAGTATGTGTGAGAAAGTTTTAATAAAATCGTTGTATATTTATTTTTGAATTTTAAAAATCTAATTTGAGAATGAAGGTTAAAGAAATTTTTAATTAGCACTGTATAGTTTAAGATATTTATAGCTTATTATAACAATTGATACAAAGGCCATAATCTTTCACCAGCTCTCCAATATCCACCTTGAAGCTGCATTTTATATCCTAAATATAAACTAAATCATGTTTTAGTGTAGACTTTTTGTCACAACAAGACTGCAACCTATAGTAACAATTATAAACAGAACCTCTAATGTCTGCTAACAATTTTTCTTCTAGTCCTAATCTGAGCCTTGTCTCTAAAAACTTAACTGAACTAGCGTTTCGGTGTGTGCAAAAGCTTCCAGGCACGCGCATTCCTTGCCCCGTTAGTTACCTGTCCTTCATAAACCAAACTAGCAGTCAGGACAAAAAGTCATACACCAAATGGGCATTATATTTATGAATTGTTTTACATCTTTTTATTCTGTAAAAATGTGCTAAAATTAAATTTCTTGTTTCATTGAAAATTTCTTGTTTCATTGAAGTTATATCAGTCCTGTGGAGACAGAAAATTTAAACCCATTTAACACCTAAATTAAATGTTTCAGAGTTTCTCAACCTTGACAGTTTTACCAAACCTATCGTTCAGGACTAGTCCCGCAAAGACAACAGCAGTTCCTATCCACTGACGGGTGGCCAGTGCATTACCGAACAAAACGACAGATCCCAGGATTGTAAAGAACTTCCGGGTAGTGGTCATGATGGAGCACATCAGGGACCCGAACTCAGACACGGTGATGAAGATGAAGTTTTGACCGAGAGCACTGGCAAATCCGAAAGTGATGATTTCGGGAACGACTTCGGGGTGTTTTGTGCAGAATGTGAGGGCTTCCCAGATCTCTCCAGTGGCCAACAGAGATATCGTCATGACAACCTGAAATATATTGTCATAACTTCATAATTGATTATACAATATACATCTCTGTAATTTATAAACTTAAGAAGCCACGGGAAGTTAATCTATGGACACGTGACAGCAATTAATCAACCAATGTTCAGAGATAACACTCACAGCTAGGATTTATATAAAGTTTGAAATATCTTACCAACGCTGACAGGTTCATCATTAAAATCATGTAGTGAGCTTTCATTCCGTGTCCTCTCATTTTCTCTTGAGCCACACCAGTTAGACCGTCTGTAAGTGAATATTAATTAGTGGAAATCCGTGAGTACGACATGGAAACATAGCCATGCAAGGAGCAGGCTATATTGTCAGCGATGAGAAGTCTGTACTGCTTGGCCAAGTATTTTATGGTCAAAGTATTTAACATTTTAATCAAATTGGTTTAATTATAAGTATAACGACGGCAATCTGTGCAGATTATACTGATTTGATCAAAATGTTAAGTCAATCACATAAATCAAAAAGCTAACTGATACGATAAGAAGTTAGTTATATTTGTCGTGTACCCACCAAGTGTCAAGGATGTGAGAAGTAACATTTCACCAGAACCAATCGTAAATCCAGAGCCGTCAGATTTACCGTCTTTATACATGAACAGAGCAACTCCAACTACTATCAACATCACCGACAGGTACTTGACAATATTATACCTTTTTCCTGAGTTAATTTGAAAATAAACCAAAGTTATCGTCACTTAACATTAATGTCATGTTATTTTCAATTAACTCACAATTGTGATACAAGGAGCAAAGCTTCTCTTGTTCAAATTTTACACCATAAAACCAGACATCTGCTTTGTTTTAACGTACCCGCTAATATCACTCCAAGCAGCATCACGGGAATGGGTTTACAACTCTTTCCCAACACTTGAGTAGGATAGTTGACCCATTTAAGGGAGGCATTGGAAGCCAACATGGCTCCAACGTAAGTAACTCCGCAGATAAAACTCAGGTATGCTGGTGTCTTGTCCGGAGGCGAGTCTGTCACCAGAAGTATTCCTGTAATTAAATGTGTATTTACAGACACAATGAAATGAAGTGTTAATGATCTAGTTATAGTAGGAAAAAATTTAAGATCACTTTCAGTTACATGATCACTATTTGGCTTCTAAAATAATAGCCAATTATAATAGTCACATGGTATTTTAGACATGATTAAGTAGTACCATACCTTTGGCGAACATAGCATTGATGATGCACTGGCAAAACACAAGAAACATGGTGTAGAAATATCTCTCATTTTCAGCCCCATATGTTCCTCTTGTTATTTTCTCTTGGACTATGCCGTAGTAGAAGTAGCAACAGAATATTCCTGAAAAGTAAGTTTTAAACTGAACTATCTAATTTCAGGGAATTTTTGTTATGAAGTAATGTCATCTGTTTGAGTGAGCCATTAAAGCGCTCAATTGGTTAGATAGATGGAATCTTAACATGGACACAGATACTGATTTACTGAACATATTTTAACATAAGTAATGGTCGATTGAATTAAATGTATCACCATCTTACCTATAAAACATAGTAGTAACTTGGCATTGTGTCCCAATTTCATGATATAAAACTCTAAATCTGAGAGAATGGTGTTATCAGAACAACAGTTAACTTTATAATACAAGTATTATAACTTGGTTTATGAAGCTTAACCCAAAACACCACCTCTATATCTTAAATAAGAGTAATGCTAAAAACTCTTAATTATATAAACAACTTAATTTAAGATTTATATAACGGTGAAAACAAATAATGATACATTTAAGTAATGAATGACTATAATTTGAGATTACAGCGTTTACTATGTGACTTTAAAAACTCTTAATTATATTATTATTATTATTATAAAACAGGATCTTACCGACAAAAATGATTCTTAAAAATACCTTAATGCGGTAAACTGTACCCTTAAAAAAGATTTTCCCAACATCTGTTGCATGCAGCTATATCTCTAATTTCGTTCAATTCATGCAAGTTATCCATTTGCAAATTTCTACTACTTAAATCACTTCTTAAAACCGATAACAAGTTCATTCTAGGTCTCCCCAATCTATCAATGAATAAATTATCTGATTCAATTGCAAAAGAGAGAGCCGTTTGGGCTGGGGTGTTCTCCATCCTCCATAACAACTTAATTTAAGATTTATATAATGGTGAAAACAAATAATGATAAATTTAAGTAATGAATGACTATAATTTGAGATTACAGCGTTTACTATGTGACTTTATTTTCATGCAAACTCAAATCACAACTGTTTGACTGGACACAAATCAAAGTAATCTTAAATAGCTCCTGGGAAGGAGTTCTAAATAACTTATGTACATTCTAATTCTTGTCAGCTGGAGGGGGATTTGTTTAAAACATATAAGTGATACGAAAAGTTGTTTTAGCAGGAGCTTTCAAAATACATGTGTAAATCGTCTTCAGCTAGGGATGATGTTGTGAAGGGGTGACATTCTTTGACAATGACTTTGTCAGTATAAAGACCCATTAATGACTGAAGCCCGAGACTTAATTGCAAGTGTATGCTAGTATATGGTGAAGAACAGAACAGGAGGGAGCTTGTCAAAAGATTAATTAGGTGTATTTTTGGATGCTGATTAGGGTTTATGTAAAACCGTATTGTTCGGCTGCAAAACAATAAAAACCAAAGTCACGTGATAATGTTTGGGCGAGCGAAGTAGTAAAAGCTTGTGCATTTAAGTGCTCGAGAAGAATCCCAAAGATTAAATTACGTGTCAAATGGTGATGTACACAAGCGGTTGAATATTACCCTTGAAGTAAATGTGTTTGAACAAGCTACAATGGTCTGGTCGTATGACGATTGACGAGAAGATAGCATCCAATAACATGTATATTGGATCCTGAAGCTTGGAAAAAAAGATCTTGAGGCAATTTGCCTCACAAAATCGGCAATCTTTGCACAAGTAGTACTTGTGTGCAAAGATTGTCGATTTTGTGAGGTCAAGTACAGTGTCAACAACATCTCACGCCGTTGTCGGGGTGAAAGTTATCTGAACCAACTGCATGCCCCTACGATTGCGTCACCACTGGTGAGCAAGCATTTGTTTGTTGTTTAGTTGTGTTGAAAGGGAACATTATTTGATTAATTCATCCATTCGGATTTTAATAACGATGAGCTATGATATACCGTTCATCTTAGATTATTGGATCAATCTTATTATATGATTAGATTTTATAAACGAACTTGGCACACAAAAGATTATAATGCGGAGGTTGGCTGGCTCTTCTATAATAAATACGACACTTCAATTTACAGAATGCTTGCTAGAGATAAAACAAAATATTATCAGACTATACATGCAGCATGAGTAACTGGTGGATAAGCCTTCGGTAAAAACGGATCCGGAAAAGTCAATGCGGCACTCGGGTCCTTGGTATTGTCGTCGGTATATTGTCCATTATCTACGTTCTGCTTCCGTAGTTTAAACAATAGTGAGTTCTAAATATACAGCTTTAAACCGATTAAGTATGAATGAATGAAATACCTAACAATCCGCACTCTTATAATCCAAAAGTATGAGTAACTCGTAGTGATGTATGATTTCTAGAAACTTTAAATTAAATTTGGTGCTCACAGGTCCTTGTGATCATGTGATCGCTGCATAAGGTTCTGTAAATGCGCGGGGCACCTTCAAGCTTAAATTATTCACCTTACTGAGGCAGTCAACCAACGCGCGGCTTTATTTTCATGATATGATATGTTTTTTCAATTGATCATTTTATGACCCAAATATAAATTATTCAAACAATATACACATAATATAACAATTACCCTATATAAAAATTCAATGTAAATTCAATAGAAAACTAAATAAAATTTATAAACACCCTTTAAGTAGTATAAGTAAGCCAGTTTAAAGAACTGGCTCCAAATTTACATCTAATTCTGCTATTTTTACTGCACTTCTACTTTTTAACCCTCTCTCTCCTCTAAAAGCTATGACTGTTGTTCTCAATAGGTCAAATCTTACTCTCTTCCTAATAAATGTCATTGCCTCACTATATCGTTGGCCTGATTTCCTAGATAGTTTATCCGCTAATTTCTTGAAGAACTGATTAGCTTAGTAGTGTAGTGTGCACAGTACACACCCCTTTTGATGAGTTTTCCGAGGTAATTTCCAAGCATACCGTATGTGGCGTGACACGGTAATATGTCAGAATATTTTTACATAGCTGAAGGTACCTGGTTCGATCCCCAGCCCCGCCCCATAAGTATATATACATTTATTGTTTTGTAATTGACACTTGACAGATATTTGCTTAATTTAAGAACCAAATACAACTAAAGTGAATTGATAAAAATTTGGCTTTCTTAAAAGAAATACGTGTCAACAGAATGTAGAAGCTGATAAATATACAGTGTACTCGGTCACGTATTATACTGACTGTTTGATATGAAATGTAATTTTTAGAGAGTACTTACAGGACGGTTACTTTACAGCCTCAAGAATAATACCATAGACCTAGTACAGAATAGTCACGGTAGCAGCTGTGCAATGTATTTGACTCAAATTGAATCTCTTGTCAGGACTGGTCTAGCTATTTTATATTTTCTACAATTATATCAGAAGATCTCAACAAATTGAACAGTGTGCGAGGAATTTTTAAATATAATAACCAATGAAAGATAAAGCTAATTCTTACCTCAATTAGAGGACCGTCCCTCAACATTACAGCTCAGTGTTTGTCTTTGTTAAATATCTTGATAAGGTATAATTGCGAGCAGGTGCGTGTTTTACTGGACAGTCTCTCTGCGCTCCTGAAACTTTGTTTACACTATCATTCAGCGTTCAGTTGTGTGTTGTGTAAATTTTGACTCTGCTTCAGCTTTAATTGTTTTTATCTTTAACTTTATGCTTAAGTTTTTAATTCCTTTACCGTAGTCGGTCACGTAACATTGACTGTTTGATATGAAATCTAAATTATAAAGAGAACTTACAGGCCGATGCTGATGGTTACTCTACAGCAGCTCAAGAATAATACGTCATTGTATAGCCGTAAACCTAGTACAGCATAGATACAGTAACATCTGTGCAATATAAATTTGACACAAATCTCTAGATATTTTCTACTTTCTAAACTTTTAACTATATTAGATTTCCATCAAGTAGTAGGACGTGATGAAAAAAGATACAACTGCCAGTGCACCATGTTAATTACAGTTCCCAATTCTTTAATCATACCCGTAAATATTTGCTCGGTATCAGGCAGCAGTTCATCGATTGATGTTCCGTGTTCTGTTTCCTGGTATTTTGTGAGCGGAATATTTTCTTGAGTAGGATAAGGTGAAATCCGTCACCTTATCCTACACAATAGTAATACTGAATACTGAATGAATACTGAATACTGAATGAATACTGAATGAATACTGAATGAATACTGAATGAATACTGAATACTGAATGAATACTGAATGAATACTGAATGAATACTGAATACTGAATGAATACTGAATGAATACTGAATGAATACTGAATGAATACTGAATGAATACTGAATGAATACTGAATGAATACTGAATGAATACTGAATGAATACTGAATGAATACTGAATGAATACTGAATGAATACTGAATGAATACTGAATGAATACTGAATGAATACTGAATGAATACTGAATGAATACTGAATGAATACTGAATGAATACTGAATACTGAATACTGAATGAATACTGAATGAATACTGAATGAATACTGAATACTGAATGAATACTGAATGAATACTGAATGAATACTGAATGAATACTGAATGAATACTGAATGAATACTGAATGAATACTGAATGAATACTGAATGAATACTGAATGAATACTAAATAAATACTGAATGAATATTGAATGAATACTGAATGAATACTGAATGAATACTGAATGAATACTGAATGAATACTGAATGAATTCTGAATACTGAATGAATACTGAATGAATGAATACTGAATGAATACTGAATGAATACTGAATGAATACTGAATACTGAATGAATACTGAATGAATACTGAATGAATACTGAATGAATACTGAATGACTACTGAATGAATACTGAATGAATACTGAATACTGAATGAATACTGAATTATATACTGAATACTGAATGATAATTATGATGTATTATTTTAAAAGTTATAATGTAGACAAGGAAACACATGTTTAGATTTTTAAAGATAACTTTAACTAAACTATATTCAATAACTCTATATATATCCAAATACTTATCTCAATAATTATCAACTTTTTGGTTATAGAGTTCAAGAATCTTGCTGACGATATATTTGTGAAAGTTTAAGAAGCTTGATGATAATATTTTTGTTCTCGTTCATTAGTTTGTTGACATCAGATAGACTAGTAGTCGTGATAACTGCAGTCAACAGAGCTTGTTCTTCCATACTTAAAATTGTGGCGATGTCTTGTCCACAGTCAATGAGATGCTGCTCAAATTTCGCAAACATTTCCGTTTTCATTATGTAAGAGAATAAAAAGTCCATACATTTGTTTTCCTCCTTGCACAATTTACTTTGTAACAGGACATCTAGAGATTTGAGTAATTTCGACATATCATTTAC